TATTGAAGGTATATATTAAGAGCAGCCTCAGAGGACGAGCAGCTGGTTGGCTTTGGCTGTGGACCAGAGAGCAGCTGGAGGGAGGTGTGGGACAGGACGGCTGACGGCTACGCTGCCTTCATCATGAGAACTAAGTGTTTTCAGGGACTCAGATGTACAGACTGCAGCAGTAGCTGATGAGGAAACAGTCGGCCTCTGTCTCCTCTTCACCAGTTCCTGCCTCAAGTGCACCTGATGAAGACACCAGTAGGTCTTCTTCATCACATGTAACATATGCTTTTTACCACAATAATGTATGTCTAATGTAGAAATACATTTTTACAGCACTGTAATTCTTTATGTTTGTGTCACAGTGATGGATGATGATGATGAGGAGCTGGAGAGAGCGATGAAGAGCATATCACCCACCAAGGAACTGGCACAGTGTTGTAAGTACATTCTTTCTTCTACTGACTGAACATTCAGAATCACTTTAGTCTCAAACAGTGTTCTTAAACGTGACGTTTGCTGTACTGTTTCATCTGTTTGTGTGTTATTTATGCCATGTGGAAATATTAGTAATACTTCATACATTTACTGATGAATGCTTTTGTCATCCGGTTGTTGTTCTGTCCTTGTAGTCCCACCGTGCCGACAGTGAAGAGACCTGTAACCATTCCTCCTGAGCTGCAGGTTCTGGTGACAGAGGTTGCTCATCCCAACAAACTGAGTTCTTTCAGCGTGAACTTCAGCTAACCGAGCGCAGAGTGGAAGACAGAGCGGAAAAGAAGAGGAAACTGCCGGACCCTCAGCCTCGAGGAACAATGTGTCGTTTCTGTCACACAGAGCTGAAGCAGGGTCCAACCAGCAGCACACACACACACACACACACACACACACACACACACACACACACACACACACAACAACTGATTAATCTGATTGATTTAGTTGTTTCCTTGTATATATTTATAATTGATTATTGGATATAAAACTGATTGATATGTTGTTTATTCTTGTTTTAGCACTCTCTAAACTGCACTGAAGACACGTGTGGACAGATTTAATAAAACAATGACTTTTAGCACAGAACTTGTTTCACTTGATTTCATCTATAAAGCTCTGGTCAGCTCATTTCCATTATGAATAATAGTATTTAATTCATCTTTGAATGCAAAAGAATATCAGTCTTTATCACAAATATAATTCACTATAATATTACGTATTATATTGATACTATAATTGTTCCATAAAATTCTCAATACATAAATACAAAAAGGATTTTCATACTTTAGACTGAAGTTATGTAGATTTGAATGTAACTTGTGACATTTTGAATAAATAGTGCAGCAGTTCAGTACCATGGACAGCGGACCATAAAATCGTGCAGTTTCATTGGCTGTCAGCGTGTTACAACTATCCACGACTGGCCTCTCGCTGTGAGGGGACGGTGCTGACCTCTAAGCCGTCACGCTGCTTCTCTGCATCCTTGTGTCTCCTTTATCCTGTTCATTTGCTTCCCACTGGTACCAGCAGAGCCAGTCGGCCCTATATGCTCACTAGACTTTATGCGTAGGAGCCTGCAAATCACGCAGGGGCCCCGTCTCCCCTCCATGTGTCAGTGGGTGTAATAACATGTGTTCATATGGGCGGGCACCAAATGAAAGTGGCACTCTCCAGCAGCAACCTGTGTGCGGACCAGTCCAGACAACCTGTGGGTGTGATGGCACTCATACTCACACATCATTTTCAAACTAGACTGATTATTTAGTCTCTCAGTGGAGGTTCAGTTAGAGCTCTGAACTAATGCAAGATGGAAAGCAATGGATTGACACTGGATTTAAAATGTTGATTTGCTGGGCACACTGGGCCAGATGGATCCATATCTCTCAGTAAATGAACCATCAAATATTCAGCCAAACCATGTAGTGTTTTAGTTTTTAAACGTACAGAAGGAAACCTGGGGGGTCCAGGTTGATGCAGTTAGTGTGAGACTTCCAGCCACAGGCTCACATGTACATTGAGCCAAAGCTAATTGTATAATATTGTGAGGACTGGACTCATTTACAGGCAGCAGAGCCAAAGCTAAATGTTGTATTCTCTGATTTTTTCATAGAAATATAATTTGCAATTTCTTGTAGTAAATATTGACTCATATTAAGATTTTATAGAACATATTCTATTCAGTAAATATTGAATGTACCTGATTGTGTTCTGTATAGATCTACTTATTGTCAGCGACCGACAGATGGAGCAAACTGGGTTGTAGTGGGTGTTGAGTTGAGCTGCAGGCCGCGCCCCTCCCTGCCTGAGTGCATCAGGTGTGGGTGTGTCTCCCAGCCTGAAGGCAGCAGACTGAGTGCACCAGGTGTGGGTGTGTCTCTGTCAGGGACTGAGCTGGCAGGCATGAGGAGTCAAGGGTAAATGTTCACAAAAAGTAATTTTATTCACGAAAAATAATCAATTTACAAAATATACAAAATGTTCTGGGCCCATAAAAGAGGTCAACTAAACAGAACTTAACTCAGGCCACATTAACTGAACAAACTGAACATACTAAACCAACCAACCAAACCGACCTAACTAAACTTTTCTTCTTTCTTTTAGATTTGTTTGGCGGCAGGCATCAAGCTTATAGGCGCATTGCCACCTACCGAACTGGAGTGTGGTACATTAGATGACCCTAACTAAACTGAGACATTGGGGAAACTTAAATAGTGGCTGATCAGGCCACTCTGACACACAGGGGGAATAGACTAAAACATAACATTTAAACAAACCATAATAACCTCAAATAATATCCAGATAATGCAGCCAAATATGAACTAAGGAAAATACTGAAATACTAAACATCAAAAAGTATAATAATCAGAAATAACTGAACTCACCAAGGAGAAAGCACGGCGTCTCCCCATGATTCCAGCCAACATGGTGTAGCCCGATTATCGGCCCAACCCCTTTTAAGCTCTCTGATTCTGCCAGCACTTCCTTTGTCAGCCATCTGAAGAGGAGGCGGGTGGCGAGCATCAGCTCAGTTGCTTTTGTTCTGTGACAAACTGGGATGTTTACTGATGTTGTTTAAAATGAACAGAAGAGACATTTGAAGTGAATATTCTAGTGAACTGTGCGCGTGGCGTCAAATTTTGAACCTTCACCATGAAAGAGGGATTTGAACTTCTGCGTACATGGTCCAATCTCAACGAAACTTCACGTGTTTGATAAGAGTCCCGCCCTGAACACGTCTATGTGATAATATTCAGATATAGTGAGAGCCCCACCTAGTGCCAACAGGAGGTATCACGTTTCATACTTTCATGTTCTACTCCTCGCAGAATGATCAGATCCACCTGAAATCTACTTATAAATCCATAGTGACAGCGCCACCTAGTGGTGAAAGGAAATGTCATTTTTATACTTTTATTTATATCTTCCTGCAGATTGACCAGATCCAGCTGAAATTCTGTCAGCGGTCCCTTAGGACGATGCCGATGACATCTTATGAATGTTAAGGATTTGTGTGGAACGTTGTTGCCATGGCGCAGCTTTTGCGTTAACATTTGAACACTTTGGGGGACTAAACATGCCTTAAAACTCATGAAACTTTGCACAAAATTCAGTCATGGCGAAGGCTAAGGTATTGTCTTGGTCCCATAGATGGGCGTTAGAAAATGGCTTAGCCACGCCCCCCAGAATCAGCCCCCAAGACAGGTACGACCAACATGTACACTGATATGTGAATATATGGAGGACTGCACTTTCCTATTTCATATTATATTGAATAATAACAATAACAGCAGAGAACAGCTGATAAACTGAACAATGAACCCAAACAGTGAACACAATAACTGCAGCAAGTTTGTGTAAAACCAGAGATTTGGATGAAGTTTGAGCAGATTACTTCCTTTGAATATTGATCAGAGATCAGTTTTCCTGATATTTTAGGGAACTTTTTATACAATTCTCTGTCTGTATTATGTATTCTTTAGTTATTTAGTAGGTCGGGAGGCCTTCTTGGTTTTATGGGGTGTTAGAAAACTTCAGAAAATAAATACAGTAGACATATCTCAGCATTTTTGTTTGATTTGACTTTGAAGACCTGAACACAAACTATATTCACAGAACCTCTGATAAACAGCCTCGTCCTGCATTAAAGAAGTTCAAACAACCAAAGAGCTAAAATAAAAATATATATAACAGTCATATTGTACATATTGTTTATTTTTCTCTTCATAATATTTTTATTTTTGTGCTTGAAGTTCTTGTTTCCTTTATTTATAGTTTTTAGCACTTTATGTTTATTATGTACAAAGATAACAAGGCAAATTCCTTGTATTGAAAACCTTCTTATAATAAAACTCACTCTGATTCTAATATCTTGTTCTTTACATTTTCTTTAATTAGCAAGTAAATAACAGACTTTAATATCTTCTCACCTCCGATATAAAACTCAGGATGAATGTAATTATGTAACATTAATTGTATTGTTTTCATTGTATTCTGGTGTAATCAACATATTTACTCCTTTAAATTCATTGGAAATCTTTTGATAGTTGTTTGATGATTTAATAATCAGTGAGTAACTTTTGGATGTTTTTCTTCATGTTGCCATCTTGAGCTGTTTTTCCTCTTTGTACAGGAAGAGAAGTTAGACACAGTGAATCTTTTACTCCTTTCCAGTCAGTTTTTATCCATTTGAATTTGACATTTTCAGTGTGTGAGTGGAGAGGACTACAACTGCATGTTATTGTGCAATCCTGTGTTGTATAATGACAATAAAACAGAACTTTAAACCCTCGATAACCCCTCCCTCTTCTTCCTGATTCAAACACAGCGAGCTACACTCTGTTCATGTATTTCCTTGTTCCCTCCCCTTCAGATCTACAGTTTGTAGATGGGTGTAACCAACATGAGCAAGAGCTGACAGGCCCCATTCACTGCAGAGACACATGTTGTTGAGATCAGAGCTCAACCCGGCCTCATTTATAAGGAAGTGAAACTGAAACAGTCGTTGTCACTGAGAGGTGAAATGGCGCAGAAAGGAGTTCAGCTGGACCGAGAAACCTTCTCTTGTTCCATCTGTCTGGATCTACTGAAGGATCCGGTGACTACTCCCTGTGGACACAGCTACTGCATGAACTGTATTAAAAGCTACTGGGATGAAGAGGATGAGAAGAAAATCCACAGCTGCCCTCAGTGTAGGCAGACCTTCACACCGAGGCCTGTCCTGCTGAAAAGCACCATGTTAGCAGCTTTAGTGGAGGAACTGAAGAAGACTGGACTCCAAGCTGCTCCTGCTGATCTCTGCTATGCTGGACCTGAAGATGTGGCCTGTGATGTCTGCACTGGGAGAAAACTGAAAGCCCTCAAGTCCTGTCTGGTCTGTCTGGTTTCTTACTGTGAGAAACACCTCCAGCTTCATTATGATGTGGCTCAGTTTAAGAAACACAAGCTGGTGGACCCCTCCAAGAAGCTCCAGGAGAACATCTGCTCTCGTCATGATGAGGTGATGAAGATGTTCTGCCGTACTGATCAGCAGTGTATCTGTTATCTCTGCCCTGTGGATGAACATAAAGGCCACGACACAGTCTCAGCTGCAGCAGAAAGGACTGAGAGGCAGAGAGAGCTCGAGGTGAGTCGACAAAACATCCAGCAGAGAATCCAGGACAGAGAGAAAGATGTGAAGGAGCTTCAACGGGAGGTGGAGGCTATCAATCGCTCTGCTGATAAAGCAGTGGAGGACAGTGAGAAGATCTTCACTCAGCTGATCCGTCTCATGGAGAAAAGAAGCTCTGATGTGAAGCAGCAGGTCAGATCCCAGCAGAAAACTGAAGTGAGTCGAGTCAAAGAGCTTCAGGAGAAGCTGGAGCAGGAGATCACTGAGCTGAAGAGGAAAGACGCTGAGATGAAGAAGCTGTCACACACAGAGGACCACACCCAGTTTCTACACAACTACCCCTCACTGTCAGCACTCAGTGAATCTACATCCAGCATCAATATCCGTCCTCTGAGGTACTTTGAGGATGTGACAGCGGCTGTGTCAGAGCTCAGAGATAAACTACAGGACGTTCTGAGGGACAAATGGACAAACGTCTCACTGACAGTGACTGAAGTGGATGTTTTACTGTCACAACCAGAGCCCAAGACCAGAGCTGGATTCTTACAATATTCACGTGAACTCACACTGGATCCAAACACAGCACACACAGAGCTGTTATTATCTGAGGGGAACAGAAAAGTAACATTAATGAGTCAACAACAGTCTTATTCTAGTCACCCAGACAGATTCACTGGATATTATCAGGTCCTGAGTAGAGAGAGTCTGACTGGACGTTGTTACTGGGAGGTGGAGTGGAGAGGGGGAGGAGTTGGTGTAGCAGTCGCATACAAGAATATCAGCAGAGCAGGGAGGTCGAATGAATGTGTATTTGGACGCAATAACAAATCTTGGTCATTATATTGTAACAATAACAGATATAACTTTTGGTACAACAATGTCTCAACTCCTGTCTCAGGTCCTCAGTCCTCCAGAGTTGGAGTGTATCTGGATCACAGTGCAGGTATTCTGTCCTTCTACAGCGTCTCTGAAACCATGACTCTCCTCCACAGAGTCCAGACCACATTCACTCAGCCTCTCTATGCTGGACTTTATCTTGATTATGAATCCACTGCTGAGTTCTATAAACTGAAATAGACAGAAGTCGTTTCAGGGACTTTGTGTTAAACTCTGAGTTTGAATCCTTAAACTGATTTTGTCTTCATGTTTGTTGCTGAGAGCTGATTGTTGTGGCGTTTCTTCACTGCACAGAGATCAGCTGTCAATCAAACATTGTGGGCGGTACTTTGACATCTTCTCATTAGTTGTCCTGTAAATGTTTGAGTGTGTTTAGGTGGCGCTCCTTCCTGTGTCTGTTCAGCCATACATTTTTTGGTGTAGTAATATTTATTAGGTTAACTGTCACAATTGTTATTTTCTAATTGTAAGTATCAGTGAGAACTGGAATTATTCAAGTAAAACTATATATGTCTTTCATGTAATAAATAAACTGTGTGGGAAGAGTAAGTTTTATTGTGTATTTTCACATAATATTCAAAGGTTTCATAGTCATTGCCCATGAACTTAGAAATACCAAGTAAGTTTTAATAGTGTTTGTAATAGTGTTTTGAATCCGGGACTGACTGTATAATTAATAGTTGGCTAGATGCTGTGGATAAATGGCGGGTTTGCCAAAATGATGAGTTTCCTTCGCATAATGAACTCAAGGCAACGACAGAGTACACAACCGCTACACATAGGAGGGGAAGGGAGGAGAGAAAACGTTTCAAATATCCGCAGCGTCGGTTTGGAGAGCCTCTACCAGACCTCACCAAAACCCTGCTGCTAATCATTATTTAAGCTAAAGAGGAAGCTATGGTTTTTGTTCATTTGCAGTGTACTCGTAGTTTGCCACAAATCTAAAATCTTACTGAGACAGAGCAAACAGAGGTCAGGAGAGATGTTCATTCCCACAAAATGTCACTCAGTTTATCAGGATAAATATGATTTCATTTATTGGCATTTCAGATTTGTTTCTTACTGTGGCTGTATATTTTTATTCCATATATGAAAATACTTTATGTGTCTTATTTCAACTAAAAGAACCACCACTTGTAGAAATGATGCACTTTCCATCTTTTGAGTTGTTATAGAGCTACTGATGAGCCTTAAGTATCTGAAATTCAGATTCATTTGTGGAAATTGGAAAAAATTCAAATGATCTATCCAAAAACATTTCCTGTGATCATTTTCTTCCACATGCTTCATAAGGACCATCACCTTGTTTGGATCCCTTTCTTTCTAATCCCCTCGTCTATATTTTGCTCATAATTTGATATGAAGCCTCATTGTTCTCTATTCTGATTCCGTTTAAACTGTTTCAATTTGGATTCTGCATTATTCTTGATGCATATGACACAGCTCTCTCTCAACAACGTGAATCTAGACCAGCAATGCTCTTGGAGGAGAGGAACAGAATCACAGCGGCAAAAATGCAGGATTTTCTTCATTTAAGATTTAACACATGTGGAAATGGGTGTAATGTTTTAGATCAGAGCCATATTTTCAAATATTATCCAAAATACATTGGTTTGACAGTGGTACAGTTCATTTTGGTTACATGATCCTCTAGTTTTAATGTAGTATTTCTTGTAGTATTCTGTAGTTTTAATGTATTATTTTGTCTTTGTGTTTTTGTCCTTAAGCCCAAAGCAACAACTTTGTACAGTTGACACAGTGCCATCTCAAACAGCAACTACAGCAAGCTGTGTCACAAGAAAAGCCATCTGGCTATTCAGGTAAAAACAAAATTGTGTAGTGCTTTGCAATTCATAAGTTGTAAGAGGTTTACCATCATCACAGAATATACATACTATTCCAAATGAAAATGAAGCAGAATATGTACTATGCACCTGAACATGGATTCACATATATTTTACAGGATATCAGCAGAGAGGAAGTTCAAGAGGACCAGGCTGAGCAAGTCCTGAGGATCTGTGTCTTCCACACAAGTGAAGAAGATGAAGGTGCATCCGACACTGATGTGTCCATTGTTATTGAAGGGACTGAGGTACTTGACAACTATGGAAGTGTTACAAAGGCCTGTCTCCTGCTCATGAGCATCATTTATGCCAGGAATTTGAGTTACCCCCCAAAAACAAAGTACACTTTGGAAGTTTTTCAAAAGCTTCTTCTAGAGCTTGATGTCCTTAAGCTGTCCCCGAAAATCCTGTCTCTGCGAAACAAACTTGAGTCTGAGTGCACATGTATACGGCACAGTTGTTAATGTGGCTATTTGTCTATTTTCTTATTTTTCTCTCGTTTTAATGATGTCATTTTTATTTGAACTTGTTGCGCTGTATTAAATACTGTATGTGGCCATGTGGAGTGGCTACGTTTTGGGGACAAAAGAAAAGAAGTTAGATCAGCATTTTCAAGTTAAACCAGAGGTTCTCAACTGGTGGCTCGTGGGGCCATTTTTAATGGGTCACGGATGTGAGTGTGGGCATGAAAAGAGCGAGGGGCCAAATATCGCACTTTTTAGTGTCAAGATGCTCTGCTTTTTGTAGGATATTACTCACGATACAGAAACAGACGTTTAGAACCTCAGAGCAAAACACTGTTCTTTAAGATAAAAAGGAATAGTAAGCATGTCTTTTAAGATGCACCAGCATGTCAAATGTTTTCCAGAGTTTAAGGTTAAAAAGCCTCTCCAAACGATAGGCTACGTATGCTCTATGCAAACAGTTCCTGAACTTGTCCTTGTGCCTTTAACAAGCTACCTCAAACCCATTTTAGCCACCCTAAGATGAAATTTCTGTCATCGTCTACTCACCCCGATGCCGATAGAAGGACTCATCATGCTCTTCTGGGAGTTTGCCGAGATGTTTGTTTCTCACAAAACTGCATTGAACGGCAACTTGGCTTCAAACATCCAAAAAATGTCTCCATATTGCTCATCTGAAGTAATCCAAGTGTCCTGCAGCTTACACATTCCTAGATGTTTTGAAAAACAGAACAAAATTGTGTTTTGGCTTTGTTTGCTCTGCTTTGCTTCCACTGTGGTGCTGCGTGAACACGGATGGGCTAGCTGGAAGTTAGTAGTGTGTAAGTTTGTGTGCGGCGTTGGAAGGAGCACGCATTGGAAGAGCAGCAGAGCAAACACAGCTGAAAACACAAGTTTGTTATGTTTTGTACAAACGTCTTGGCATGTGTGAGCTACAGGACTGAATTAAAGTGTTCTCTAATGTCAGTAAATATTAAATTTGGGGTAATGACACTGATCCTGGATCAGCATTTAAATGTACCTTTGAGTTTATTGTAAGGTATTCTTATTATACTGCAGTGGAGAACAGAGTGACACATCTCAAACCATAGTGGACACAAAAATACTAATCTTGATCTCATGAATTAAGACTTTCTACTTCACTTGTTGAATATTGTAACTGTGTTATCTTGTGACCAGTTAAAGTCATCAGAAATCAGTATTCAGCAGCTTATTTTAAACTAAAATAAAGAATCTCCAGAGTATACCCCCTTGCCGCTTTATATTTTCTCAGCTCACGCCTCCTTCTCACCTTTTCATCCCCTAACCAGTTTGTGTTGAGACTGAGCTCGTGAACACACATGCAGACACTCCAGGAGACAGGGACTTAATAGGAAACTAGTGTTTATTGAAAAGAGGGGGAGAGGGAGTGCAGACCTGGGCAAGCTTGGGCTGGTGGGTGTGAACCTGGGGCTGAGGGTTGGACTGGAAGCTGGAACCTGTCTGCACTCAGGCAATCACACACACATACAGTTAGAGAGAGGGAGAGAGACACTCGGGAGTGGCAGCAGGTTAGATAGACTGAATCATCATAGTTTGTATCTCTCACTGTAACCATGGTTTGTGAACTTAATAACAACCACAATGAATCCCAAATGTGTGATTTGACACAACAGAACTGCTTTGTGTAACCTGTAAAAACACATCTGACATCCTTTCATAAGATAACTCATGTATGACGACAACAAGTCAGAAATGAGGCATTTGACAGCATAAATATTAGACTTGGGCAGGTGGTGCCTGATTCCTTTCAAATGAGCATTAAACTGCTCTGCCAGCTGGCTGTTGATGATAGTGTGCTGCAGATCGCTGTCAGCGTTATACACACTTCAACCAGCACACAGTAAAAGTACAGCATTGCTGACCAATGTGGTTCTTCCAGTGGAGCCGGTCTAGGTGGAACCAACTGTGTTTAAAGAATGCTGGAGCACGGTTCAGTGCAAAGCTGTGCAGTATAGGGCTGAGGGAGTGCTCGGCTGACATGAGAACAGATAATTTACTTTTAATAAGTATCAAATGTGTAAAATGTGTCTGTATTTAAGAAAATATAGCAACTTTTATTAAAAAAAACCTTGTTCTGTAAATAGTTCTGTGATTCTAGTGAGACAAAAACATTGGCCTGATCTAAATTCTGAGGATGTTCTTGAGTTTTCTTTTATTATTTTAACACAAGAAACAAAATACAGAACAACAGGACAAAGACAGAAAGAATGTGTACAGAACAGAAGAGTAAAGACAGACATTTGTCAGAAAATAAAAGAACAACGTGGGTGTTAGTGGCTCTGTGGTTTGCTGATATGGGACGGTTAGGGTTTGTGCGTGCGTTCAAACTGTCAGTCTGGGTGGCACAAAAAGACTCTGAGGAGGGTGGCTGTTTGTTGGGGATTGACAGTCAGAATATGTTGTGTTATTGGTTGAGAGAGGAAAGTGAGGTGACCCGGCGTACCTTCCCCGTGCTGCACCCTCAGGAAGGAACAGTCACAGCTCCTTGGATGAAACACAAGAGATGAGGCAGTGCACCACCAAATAAAACTCTAAATGAAAGGTGAAATAGAAACTGAAAAGCTTACCATGAATGCAGAGCGGTGTACAACCGAGGAGCATCCTTTCTTCATGTCCTTGCCCTCTCTTTCCCCCTCTGCTCTGCCTCATACAGCCCTTGGACCTGCAAGGGAGGAAGGAAGAGAAAGTAGATTCCATCAGGAAGCTGGTTGGTTTCCTCCTCTCCATGCTCCTCCTCAGTGAATGGTGGACACAGTTCTCTCATCACATCAGACACTTGTATAATATTGTCCACTGTCAGGAGGGTCTGTGCAGTGTGGTCCACCTCAGGTTTTTGGTGGAGAAAAGTAGATGCCAGATGGCCTTGGCCATCTCCAGTGTGTCCCTCCCTGTCCATGCAAAGGAAAAGGGGGGAAAGGACACTGAAAAAAACAACTGGTAAGATTTACTTAATATAATCTCTGTAACAATGTTTAAGTAAATATTACTGCTGAAATATCAAGTACAACTCAGTTGCCAGTATCAAGTCAAATTTACTCACCACTCAACTAAACTTTAGTAAAAATATAAAGTAAATGTTGTTTAATTATTTCTACATTACAAGTTATATTTAGTTTAACTGAGTAAAGTCAATTATATATTTTCATATACGAGACATTGCTGTCATAAAAATATAAAGTAAATCTTATATATCAGTGATATTTACTGTGATGAAGTCAATAGGTACATTTTATTACATTTATTCTGTTTGACATTTTAAATTCCTTCTATGTCTGCAGATATATTATTCACTACAATTATGTAAATGTTATTTTGTTTTGATGAATTTGACCAAATCAATGTAATCATTTTCTCTATGCATATACTTTTACCACAAAGCAGCAACTGAAATACAATATATAATGAAATGTTTTATTTTGTTATTAACACCAATGAATCACTAACATTAACATTAAAGTTGAAATGTACAATTCAACTGTGTAACATGCATTCAAAGTGAAGCAGCAGCCAAAAATATAACATGGCATTAATGAGAAAACATATTCCCATTGATATGCTCTTGCTCTGTTGAAAACGTTTGGAAAAAAATGAAATAAAAATATCATTGTAATTACAGTATACACTGCATTTCTTTAGTTTTCTCCCCAAGATACATAAAGAACAATAAAAGGCCATATCACATGACAAGAAGAAGGTGCTTTTTTAAATATTCAGTTAAAACCTTACAACAGTGCAAATTAACACTTTCAATTCTACTTTACTCTGATGATTCTGACATATGTGAGAAGCACAAGGTAACATGTATCTACTGGGTGTTGGCTGATGTTCCCTCTATGAAGGTGTACATCATCAATGTATGTAGTTGTTTTGTATAAGGCAGATGATGTTAAGAAATGGAGTTATCCTTGAGTGAGAGGATTTGTGCTGTGTGTGCATTCATATTGGGAAGAGTGCGTGTGGTAAAAAAAGGGAGACAGAGCAGAGAAAAAGCACAATTTTTACCAAACACACCTGACTCAGTTTGTCCAAGAATGGCCTCAGATTGGTCCCCACGACTCCTCCCTTGGCCTTCATCAGACCGTTTCCCAGTGGCGGCGGGCCAATAGAGGGCGCCGCCCCCTTGAGCCACAAAAATAAAAAATAAATAAAAATTAAAATAAATAAAAAAATTAAAAATAATAATAATAATGATAAAAATATCAGTATGTCAATAGTTGTGTGTTTGAAATATGGAATGCAGCCAGTAATATGTGTAAAATATCCTCTGCCTGTCTGAAGCCTCATCAGCTCTGGCCGATAGAGAAAGCGCCCCCAGGAGGCGGGTCGATGTAGCAGTTAAGCCAATTGCTAATTTAAGATATGAATGTATGACATTAAATTCAGCCAATCAGCGTCCTTAAATCGAATCCAAGGAGGGAGATTATTTTATCGCCCCAAGCTCGCCTCTGATAAAATAAGGACTGGGCTCTAGCGGCGCCATTTTTACTAGACGACAATGGCGAGCGCGAACTTTAGTCCTCCAAGACCAAGACCCAACCCTAACTCGGTGGAATCTCTCCTCCAAGATCCGTTTAAGAGGAGAACTTTGTCGGAGAAAGTTGGGGTGAAAGAGCTGGGCCCAGATCAACCTGAGCTCTCAATCAGACAGCAGGCTAGAGAGAAAGGGAAGCAGTATATGGCGGCGGCTTCTCCCGTAGCCGGTACACCGGGAAGGCTTGGCTAGCTGGGTGCACTCATGCTTTTTAAAAGGACGGGGACAGATCCAGCATGGACAGTTACCGGAGTGAGGGATATGAAGCACCTGTCAGAGAAGGTGATGTTTATGTTTCTCTGTAATAATGGTAAGGTATCGACCGACACAACATAGTATCCAGTAGTATCCAAACTGCGCCTGTCGATACCTGCAATCGGTTCTTTTTGTACCCAGATCAAGAGATCAATGACTGTTTCTATGGTTTCGCTTTGTATGGCGGTAAAGCTTGCAGCTTAGTCTGGGGTGGAGTTGGCTGGTCAGCATTCTGAGATTTCTTGTGACCTATCAACATATGGATAATTTAAATATTCAAATGAGCCATGTGTTGATTGCTGATCACCTCAGTTGCTAGGTTACCACCAGGCTGTCAATCAAGCTCTCAGTAACAGAACATAATGTGAGCTAATGTCGGTTGTTGGACTGAAATTCTGAAAATGCTCATACAGAAACAGAAGGTGCTGTATTTGTTTTACCCTTTATCTATCCAGATAAAAACATTAAGAACAGTTTGTGTATATTGGTTATTAGACCTATGTAATCTGAATTGGAAGGGCACGTTGTCATGAGCTGTATCTTGTATATTTATTATTAGCTATGTGGTATGTGTATGCACCTTTATGTAATCTGGTGGAAAAACATTAAAATTTAAAACCGGATCATACCAAACAAATATCTGCTTGTGTGTCCCTGTGTATGCAAAGTGTCCTCCTTTTTGATGTGAAGGAAATGGCCACCCTAACACAGAGCAACCGTCGATAACTTCAGGTAATATGTAATATGTAATATATATATATATAATTCTTGGTTGTACATGTTTGTACAGCTATTAAATAAATATTTGAGCACTTTCAAAATGTATTCGTGGAGTGGTGACATTTACAAAGTAAAAAAATGTATCGAATGAAGTACTCAGTTGGTATCAGTATCGTGTTAAGGGTACTGGTATCGGTACTGGAATCGAACATTTTTAAATGATAGCCAGCCCTACTGACTATTTCACTGAGCACTGGTGTCCTGCAGTTTATGTTAAATTGTATTGCGATGGTTACAGAAACAAAAAAGTATGGCACAGCCCCACTGACAATATTTTTCACCAGCCGCCACTGGGATTCGAATTGAGTTCTGAAGGCATGTTGTAAAACTATTGAGTTTTAATAAAAGATGTTTTGTTGCAGCTCTGACTCTGGTTTTATTTAACAGGTGAAGAAAATCTAATGTTGATGAATTTTGGAGTAACAGCAAGCCTGGTCTCATTCAATATGCATATTTTGCAAAGCTGCTAATGTGAAAAAGAAAAATGAACAGTAAAAACATTCTACAACAACATATTGTATTGTGAAGTATTAACAGCTATTTACTGGCAACTTTAGTTGCCAGGTAACCTCTGTAATTTGAATAGAATACAAGATAATGTTGTAAACTAGATTTTTCCAAGAAAAAAAACAACAACAACAAATTGCTGTAATTTATATACAACAAAAACCTGTAAAAGTGATCCTGTAATATACTGTAATCCTTTTTACAGTAATTAACAGCAATTTTACTTTACTGGCAACTTTTTCTGCCAGCTATTTACTGTAAATTCTACAGTCAATGTGTTACAGTGTATGCTCGCACTGTGCTTTCATTATAATTCAATTTATTGATCGATAGTTAATAAGTTTTTACCTCTTTCCTCCCGTCTCTCCTGTCCTCATCTGTTATTGCAGTCATAAATAGCAGTCTGACCTCAGGTGTGGTCCCTGAAAATTTTAAACATGCAGTAGTACAACCTCTGATTAAAAAACCTGCTCTAGATCCTGCAGTTCTTGCTAATTTCAGGCCTATCTCCAAACTGCCTTTCCTTTCAAAAATCCTGGAGAAGATTGTTGACAGTCAATTAATGGCCTTTCTGGAAGAACATAATATTCTAGAGGTTTTCCAATCCGGTTTTAAAACCGTGCACTGCACAGAATCAGCTCTCTTAAGAGTTTTTAATGATATCTTTTTAGCTACTGACTCTGGTGACTGTGTTATCCTTGTGCTTTTAGATTTAACTGCTGCATTTGACACAGTGGATCATGAAATACTGATCTCACGTTTGAAGCAGTGGGTGGGCATCAGAGGCATAGCACTGGAGTGGTTCAGGTCTTACTTGGCTGATCGAACTTTCTGTGTCAGCCTAGGTGACTCTGTATCCTCCTCTGCTCCTCTCTCGTGTGGGGTCCCACAGGGCTCAGTTCTTGGCCCTCTCCTTTTCTCTCTCTATTTGCTCCCACTTGGTTCCATACTTAGGAAGCACGGCTTTTCATTCCACTGTTATGCAGACGACAGTCAGATTTATGTGCCTCTTAAAAAGAAAAATGAATACTCTGTCAGACTGCTACTTAAGTGCCTTGACGACATTAATGCCTGGATGACTCTGAACTTTTTAAATTTCAATGATAAAAAGACAGAAGTGATGGTTTTTGGTGGCACCACAGGGATCCCCCCTGTAGATCTGGGTTCCTTGGCCCAGTATATTAAACCTAGCATCACAAACCTAGGGGTTAAGGTGGACCCTGAGCTTAAGTTTGACAGTCAGATCAAGGCTGTTGTCAAATCAAGCTTTTTCCATTTGAGGCAGCTGGCCAAAATAAAGCCAATTCTATCAAGGCAGCACTTTGAGATGGTAATCCACGCCTTTGTTACCACTCGGCTGGATTACTGTAATGCACTATATGTGGGGGTTAGTGGGTCCTCCATCGCCCGTCTTCAGATGGTACAGAATGCTGCTGCACGTCTTTTAACTGGCACACGTAACTAACATTTCACCCATTTTAGCCTCACTCCACTGGCTGCCTATTCAATTTAGGATCCATTTTAAAATTATTTTATTTGCTTTTAAATCCCTAAATGGTCTTGCCCAGCCCTACCTATCTGAGCTTCTACACCCCTAAATACCCGTCCGCCCCCTCAGGTCAGATGATCAGCTGCTCCTGAGTGTGCCTAAAACTAAGCGGAAGCTCAGAGGGGACCGTGTCTTTGCTGTGTCTGCTCCTAAATTATGGAATGATCTGCCTCTGCACGTTAAACAGGCCTCTTCTCTGTCTGTTTTTAAAAACCAGTCTTAAAACCATCTCTTCTCTGTGGCCTTTGACACCTAGTAAGATGTCGACTTTATTTACTTGATATATTTTTTGGATTTGTTATTTTTATTTTTTTGATTGCTTGTTATTGCATGGTTATTATTTTTATTTATGTCTTTTCATTTTATTGTTGTATTAGATATTATTTTGCGCCTCATGTGAGCTGTTATGTCTTTTATTTATGATGTCTTATTTATTCTCCTGTACAGCACTTTGGTCAACTTTGGTTGTTTTAAAGTGCTTAACAAATAAAGTTGGATTGGATTGATTGGATTCGCGCCACTCAGTGTTTCCAACCAATCAGTGTCTTGCCGGCCGCTCTGGCGTTATCTCGTGCTGCATTTAGTGCAGTCGGACATTGGAGATTCACGCTCGTAAATGTCAAATGCCGTAACTTTTCTTTTAATTCGTTGCTGCCAACTGGGGTGGCAGCAGGGGTGGCAAGGCTTTCTTTTAGGGTGGCACTTGCCACCCTATGCCACCCCGGTAGATCCGCCCCTGCACAAGTTGTGTAAAGTTGTTAAGTCGTTCATCTAAGTCATGTTACCAGGATAATATAATAATAATAATAATAATAATAATAATAATAATAATAATAATAATGATAATATATAGATCAAATATTTTGGTAAAGTTAAAAAGGGCAAAGGTATTTTTGTAATGATGGCCTGTTATTGTTATGTATACTTTGTGTTTAAGAATTTAGTAAAAATGTGAACAGCTTGGGCTTAAAAGTATTAATGCTACTGTAAATGTGGTGTTGGACCTAAATAGCAGTCACTGTTGGTGAACAATGGTACAAATTAGGAGTTTGAATTTGATTTCTGTTTCATTCAGCAGTCATTTTGTACATTTGTAAAATGTCAGTCCAGTGGGTTAGTATATGAACCTTAAAGCTTGATGTCATGTAAATTGCAAAATGAAGATTGTTGTGAACAAAACACTAAGTTGGTTTAAATGAAGTGAAAAAGAAAGATTCTGTTAAATAAAAACAGAGAACAGCCTGCTGAGCGATCACAAGTAACGTCTCCTGTCTCTGCTTTTCCTGCACAAAACAGGATACTATACCTGCTTACGGGTAACTCATGCTTGAGGCCTGTAACATTTTGATAGTTGTTTTATGATTTAATAATCAGTGAGTAACTTTTGGATGTTTTTCTTCATGTTGCCATCTTGAGCTGTTTTTCCTCTTTGTACAGGAAGAGAAGTTAGACACAGTGAATCTTTTACTCCTTTCCAGTCAGTTTTTATCCATTTGAA